AAAAATGTTATAAAATTGTGTGTAACATGAGAATCAAATAGTTATTTTATAGGATGCTAGAAGTGGGTCTCTTTTTCCTAATAAAATTTCATGTAATTCACGTACCATTCTATAAATGTTTACACTGTTGATTTTGTACCGATCAAAGATCAAGTTTCGTAATTTTGTTTTTTCATAAAAACATTTTTTTTCTTAAGGTTTATCACTTTGATTTTGAATTTAGCTCTTTTGTTTTTCATTAAATAATAAATTATTCTATGAAGCAACTAATAAGTTATGTTAACAAAAAGTTTATTTAACGAGTATATATAAAATAAAAAAATTATTTATAACTTTATAAAATATATTTTAATTATCAAATTGTTTGATTTTTACTGTTTAATAGTTTAGTGTTCATCATTGGAATTGATATATTATATTTATTGATAGTTATACTTGCTAATGATTTATTATTGCCGGTAATAGCCATTTTCCTTAACGTGTATGAGGAAACAAGACAAAGACAAAATCTAAATTTATCTGAGCATTGTCTTTATTTATTTTTTTCGTTAAATTCTATTATACATATGTAAGAAAAAAATGTTTGAAAATCATAAAAACAGAAAAAGAAAGGAAAATATATTTATTGGGCTAAACTTATTAAATGCATTTTTTGTAACTTCAATGATATTGGATAATGAAATGATTAACAACAACCATTTAAGGCGTCTATGTATTTATATTAAATGCGAAGAGGTAAATGTGATTTCGAATATACCAAATTGTATAGGTAATATATATATATATATATATATATATATATATATATATATATATATATATATATATATATATATATATATATATATGGTAAAAAAGAAATAAAATGTAATTGTGGTGATTATTTTCTAAAACTTTTGTAACTTTTTTTTTGTCCCAAGTGCAAGATATAAAACAATGTATTTTTGGTATTTCTTATATTTTAAGTGTAAGAAATAGCAATGTACTTGGGTATTTCGTGTATTTAAAGTTCTATAGAGTAAATTATTTAATTTCAATAAATACACGTTGATTTGGTAATTGTGTTTATATTTTAAGTGCAACAAATATAAATGTACTTTGGTTGTTTATCTCTAGTTTAAAAATAGCAATCTACTTTGACATCATAAAATGGATGTTGATTTGGTAATTTTGATTTGTGGTGATTATTTGCTAAATGATTTGGTAATTGGGTTTTTGTCCCAAGTGTAAGAAATAACAATTACTTTGGTTTTTTCGTTAGTATAAAAATAGCAATGTACTTTTGCATCGATAAATGGATGTTGATTTGGTAGTTATGTTTTTGTCCCAAGTGCAAGAAATAGGAATGTACGTTTGGTATATCTTGTATTTAAGTGCAAGAAATAGTAATGTATTTTGGTAGTTTTTGTTTATGTTTGTTAAGTGAACTTATAAGTTTATTTATGTTGTTATTTATTATGTAGTTGGAAAAAATCTTCGGGTAATGCTCAACGACTGGACATGTAGGGATGAGCTCTATGCGTGTTTTCAATCGGGGAAAGATTAAGGTTGAAATGATGAGAACGGAGATGATGATTCGTCAGATAATTAATTTGTCTTTTGTATGTTACACTTGTGGTGGCACTTTGCTAGTTGTTAGAATTGTAAAGCTTTGGTTGTTTATTTTGGTATGAAATTATTTATAACAATATTTGATATCTAATCGAATGTTATTATGTAATTTTGTAACATCCCGATATTCAAGTACATCTATTTAACCCTTCTTCTTTACCAAGTTGTCAAATTTAGCCCTGGAGTGGAAAATGTTGCAAATGAGTATGTTGGGCGTACTGAAGAGTACGTTGCGCATACTCATGCGCTTATATTTGACGCAGACTCAACTAGGTACGATGGGCGTAACTGACTCAGATGCAAAACCCTAAATGAGACTTGAGGACTATAAAAGGAATGATAAGGCCCTTACCCTAGCCACAATATTACAGTTAGTGAAACCCTAAGAAAGCAAAAACTTGTTATAAGCTTGTGTGTGTGTGTGTGTTCTTAAACTTGAAAGTGTCATTTTGTGGTGGTGAAGAAGAAGAGGAGGCCATTGTGGGAGCTAGAAGTTGGAGGACAAGTTTGGATTCGAGTTCTATAGAGGTTGGAGCTTCATTTCGAGGTAAAAAGCTCAAAGCTTTCCTTGCCATTGTTGATTTGTGCTTTATGGACCCATTTTTAGGGTTTTTGGTTCCAAGGTGGAGACTTTATGGATTAAGTGGCCTTAGAATAGTCAGATCTGGAATTTAAGCTTAGATCTGTTTATTCCAGTGTAATATGTGTTGTAAGTTCATAAAAATCCAATCTTGGACGTGAATATTAATTCATGCATGAGATATAGGCTTAATGAGGATAGAGGAAAGGTAGTTAGAATGATTGGAGACCTTTACGGCCATGCAAAGGCTCAAAGGTTTCGACTTTATGGATTAAGTGGCGTTAGAATAGTCAGATCTGGAATTTAAGCTTATATCTTAATCGTTTAAGACCAAAAATCAATAAGAACATGAAACTAAGACTTACGCTCGGCGTAAATCATAGAACGCGCTGCGTAAGGGTTTGAGACCCCAATTCTGGATCGCCGGAGTACGCCATGCGTACAAGAGCTGGTACGTGCCGCTTACTGCCCTCTGTTGACTTTTAGGGTTTGATCAACAATTGGACATGTGGACCATTGAAGGGGTAAAATGGTCTTTACCCCCTTTTGAGAGATTATAAAAAGGGTCTAGTCTAGCTTTTGAGAATCATGTTTAATTAAAGGTAAAATACTTTATGTGATTAGACGGAGGCTAGATCAGTATTTCGAGTTTGAGATTTCCCGAGGTGAGTGTTCTCACTATACTTTACCAAGAGTGGTAATTAGAGTTATGTGACAGAGTATCTTGTATGTTATTTATATGATGTGATACACTATATTATTTCTATGCAATTTGTGCTATGTATGATTCAGAGTTTACAGAATTAGGACCAGAGGGTCCATAGAGTTATGGGACTGGAGGGTCCCACTAAGACACATTGACCAGAGGGTCACACAAAGTTACAGCCTCGAGTGGCTAATATGTGTTGTATGTGGTATTTTGGGGAACTCACTAAACATTTATGTTTACAGTGTTATTTGTTATGTGTTTCAGGTACTAACGAGGATCGTGAGAAGGCACCGTTATGATTTGTACACACTGACAGATGATTGTATTTTGTGATCTTGGGATATATTTTACTATGATGACATCTGTTGAACATGAGATTTGAAAATATTAAATTAGTTTTATGTTGTTTGAAAAATAAAAAATTGTTTAAAATTTTCATGTTGTTATAATTTTTTTTTGCCTTAAATGTGGTTATGTATCGGTTATTTTATACCTAAAATTGATTACTAAAAATAATTAAAAAATGAAAAATGTTATTAGCGACGATAGGTAGTGTTAACGACGACAGGATGTATTACCACCAACAACAGCATTAGCGGCGACAATTATCTTTACTGGCGACGTTCTAATCAATAGTGACAGACCAGTAACGACGATTTTTTATAGGTGATCTTTTTTACTCTTTAGCATTGACTTTTTGTTGCCACTAATTACTTTTTTTGTTACAGTGCATGCTATTAGATCTCCTAATTAATATCATATCACTTATCAATTTATTAATTTTTCATTTTAAATTTCAAAATTTAAATTTTCAACTTTAATTATTTTAAATTAAAATAAAGAGTAAATTACACGAATGGTCCCTATGGTTTGGGGTAATTTGCATGTTTGGTCCCTAACTTATTTTTTTAACTCGGAAGGTCCCTATGGTTTGTTTTTGTTACGCGTTTGATCCCTACTGTTTATTTTTGTTACGCGTTTGGTCCTTATCTTATCTAAAAAGACTATTATTTAAAGAGGAAAAAATAATGGGGTAGGTGAGGTAATGTGAGGGGGTGGGATTAGGGGAGTGTTTATTTAAATGAATTAAAAAAATCAAGGGTATAATAGTCTTTTTAGGTAAGATAGGGACCAAACGCGTAACAAAAACAAATAGTAGGGACCTTCCGAGTTAAAAAAATAAGTTAGGGACCAAACATGCAAATTACCCCAAACCATAGGGACCATTCGTGTAATTTACTCTAAAATAAGGTAATATAATTTTATGTATTTATTTAAACCAATAATTAAAATTTTATATAATTAAAAATTATATCTATATTAATAATTTATTTAAAATAATTAAGTAATAATTTTAAATTTTTACTATAAAAATTTAAATTTATAACTTTGGTTATAAACTAATAAATATAAATAAATAAATATCAAAAGTTTAAATTTATAACTTTGGTTATAAACTAATAAATATAAATAAATAAATTGATGAAAGCAGAGCTAAATAAGCCGACGCCTTTGGAATAGGGCGCAACTCGCAACCGCGAAGGGGGCAACTGCACTGGGAAAGGGGTTCTCCGGCAACGGCAAAAGACACTGGAAAGGAGATGTTTCCGGTGACGTTTCCATCTCCGTTTTTAAACACCATATTAACTCCTTATTCCTACTCTTTAACAATTGGATTTCTTTGTTCCTTCTCGTTAAGTATTTCTTCACTGTTTCTTTTTGCTAGCTTTTTCGGTATTAGAAGGCTGAAAAGCGGGTAGGCCATGACCCTTCCTTGCCACTTCGGTACTCTATAATATATCATTTTAATACACATTTTTCCAATAAATATAGTTTACGAGGAAAAATTAATGATTTTAAAACATATGATCACATCAAAAGATGCCATGATCGTAAAAGAACAAAAAGAAATTGAACAACAAATTCTTAGAAGGTATGCTACATCCCCATGAATTGAAAAAATGCAGAGAATATGAACAGTAGCGTAGCTAAACACCAAAACTTTACTATACGCTAACTAGAAGGCTGCTAACTACAGAAGCTAGGCTGCTAAAAAAGGTAAAACAAGGCATGCTAACACAGTAATTCTGAGAGTGTTTTCACAATTGTTTCTACAAATTCATTGGAGCCCTTCTCCCATTCCCATAAGAGTTTCAATCTCCCATGTGTATAAATATAAACATATTTCATTCTATCTCATAATTAAGAACAACTTCAATTCACCTTGGTATAGCTTGAATTCACAACATGATATCATTTACCATGTCATCGTGGTTGGAAGTTATAAGTATGAAAATCGAGCTCACTTTCACAGTTATTACTTTGTTAGCCATTTCATTCGCTGTTTTACTTCACAAGTCCCGGAAGACAACATCACGATTGCCTCCGGGACCTTGTGGTTTACCATTGCTAGGGTACCTTCCATTTCTTGGCCCCAACTTGCACCTTGAATTCACAAAAATGGCTAAACGTTTTGGCCCCATTTTCAAACTCCAACTAGGAAGTAAAACCTACATCATCGTCAACTCCTCAGACCTTGCTAAAGTTGTCGTCAACGAGCATGATGATATCTTTGCCAACCGAGACCCTCCGGTGGCTGCGCTAATCCTTTCATATGGTGGAAAAGATATAACGTGGTCTGATAACAACCCATATTGGCGTAACATGCGTAAAGTGTTTGTGCATGAAGTATTGAGCAACAAGAATCTTGAAGCTTCAGGGTCTTTCCGGCGAGCTGGAGTGAGAAAAACCATCAAGCATGTGTACGAAAGAATGGGAACGGAGGTAGACTTTGGTGGGATCGCGTTCTCTACGTCTCTCACAGTGATAAGTAGCATGGTATGGGGGAAAAGTGTGGATGAAGAGGAAGAAAGTAGTGATAATCTTTGGGATGGATTCCGAGAAGTGATGTCAGGGGTAATGGATATTGTGGGAGAGGCGAACGTGTCGGACTTTTTTCCGGTGCTGACGAGATTCGATTTACAAGGAGTCCAGCGAAAAATGAAGCTGCAATTTGAGAAGTTCGATGCGATCCTCCAGAGGATAATCGATGAAAGAATGAGCATTAAACCCCAAGAATCAACCGAGCAACATGGAAGAAAAGATTTCGTGCAGATTTTACTAGAGCTTAAACAGCAAAATACCGAATCTTCATTTAGCCTTACGCAAATAAAAGCTTTTCTCGTGGTACCATTATCATATATGATCTATCTATCGTTATTTTTGTTTGTTTGTTTATTTTTGTCCACTTATATATATTACATCGATTCAAGGCCTTAATTAAAACTTTATTTGTGTTTTTGAAACAGGATTTTTTTATCGCAGGCACAGACACAACAACAGTAATGGCCGAATGGACAATGACGGAGGTATTAAAGCATTCAGACGTAATGAAAAAGATACAAGAGGAACTAGAACGTGTTGTAGGAGAACACAACATTGTAGAAGAATCTCATCTTCCAAAACTATGTTACCTAGATGCAGTGATTAAGGAAACATTCCGTTTACACCCTGCACTTCCATTGTTGGTAGTTCGATCTCCGAGTAAATCGTGCACTGTTGATGGATACAAAGTTCCAAAGGGTTCGAATGTGTATTTGAATGTCTGGGCAATACATAGAGATCCTCAATATTGGGAGAATCCTTTAGAATTTGATCCAAATAGATTTCTAAACCTCGATGGAACAACAAAGTTTAATTATAATGGACTGAATACAAACTTTCTTGCTTTTGGATCTGGTAGAAGAAGGTGTCCAGGGCTTCCCTTGGGCGAGAAGATGCTCATGTATCTTTTGGCTTCATTGTTGCACTCGTTCAACTGGACTTTGCCTGATGAGAAAGAGCATGAGCTTCCGGATAAATTTGGCGTTGTCTTGAAGAAAGGAAATCCACTCATAGCTATTCCTTCTCAGAGGTTCGCACGCAATAATCTTTACATGTAATAGAAACACTTAGGTTGCATGCATGGTTATTTCCCTAAGTAAACATAAGAATAAGATAGCATAGCAAAGTCCTGCTGCCCTTTATCATTATCTAATAAGGAGGCCTGTCCATAGCCTTTTCATGCAACGGCCAAATGGATTTATTATGCCCCTGTATTTGTATTGTGCAATATAACGAAACATTAAATAAGAATTGAGAATTGATGTTTATACGTCAATTAGGAGATGATAAATGTATGTATATGTTTGCGAAGTAACCGTCTTATCATTGTCAGGTTAATTCTAGTTTATAGCCGTTGGAGGCTCAGTTAAATAAAGCTGATATGATCCTCTAAAGACTATGTCTTTAGGAGAATAAAGTGGCATGTGGCTACACCCATCAATGCATCTGTTGATGCAAGTTTCTCGAAAGTTTTGTTAGCAGCTAGTAGTATTTTAATCTCCCCTGTAATCAATTTTAATAGGAGCAAAAACACAGAACCAGTTTTGGTGTTCTAAATTCTCTCTTTCTCGTTTATAACTTACTGTGTGAGTGTGTGTGTTTGTTGAAAATTCACAAGATCCCAAAGGTCCAATTCCAACAGTTGGTATAAGAGCTTTCGGGTTCACAATAAGAGCTTGGTGTGAGCTTTACCAATGACACTCATACAATCAAAGGAGAACGGGAATGGAGGTGTACCACTCCACTACCCGATGCTGTCACCCACGAACTACACAACATAAGCAATAAAGATGGAGGTGATAATGGATGCCCAGGGAGTATGGGAATCCATCGAGCACCAAGTTGGCGCAGCTGTTGATGAAAAGAAAAGTAAGAAGGCTCGAGCATTCATATTCCAAGCGTTACCTGATGATGTGATTCTTCAAGTTGCGCAGAAGAAGACGAAAAAAGAAGTATGGAATTCGTTGAAAACTCGTTACTTGTGTGCCGATCGGGTTCAGAAGGCAAGAAAGCATGCACTCAAGAGTGAGTTTGACTCTTTAAGAATGAAGGAAGGAGAAACGATCGATGAATTTGTAGGGAAAATAAGTGGGATAAGCTCCAGTTATGTAAGCCTTGGTGAGAGCCTAGCCAATGGAGTGTTGGTTAGAAAACTACTTGATTCTGTCCCAGACAAATGCCTGCAACTCGTTGCCTCCATTGAGCAATATGTCGATGTAGACGACATGTCGTTCGAAGAGGCCATTGGAAGACTCAAAGCTTATGAATCTTGCTTGAAGCTTCGATCCGATAATGCAACCACAGAAGCAAGTCTGATGCTGACCTGATCAGAGGGACAAAATGGTCAGAAAACTCCCGGAAAGAACTCAGGAGGAAGAGGTCGAGGCTCGTACCAAAATGATCGAGGGGGAAGAAATGGAGGTCGAGGAAGAGGCAGTTAGCGAGGCAGAGATAGCCGGGGTGGCAACTCGTCACGAGATAACAACCAAGACAGTTGGAAGAATCGAGACAAGAAACACATTAAGTGTTTTAACTGTGATGATTTCTATCATTTTGCATGAGAATGCCATAAACCAAAACGTACAGAAGGCAATGTGAATCTCACTCAAGCACAAAAAGATGAGACAACTCTACTCTTGACAGTACACGGAGAAAAGACCGAAGAGTTGGTTTTGTTAAATGAAGATTAGGTCTTTCCGAGTCTAAAAGGGAATGAAAAGGACACATGGTATCTAGACAATGGAGCTAGTATCCATATGATAGGAGTAAGAGATTATTTTGCAGATTTGGATGAAAATATAAGGGGACAGGTATGGTTTGGAGACGGGTCAAGAGTTCAAATTAAAGGAAAGGGATCCATCTTGCTAGATTGCAAGAACAAAGAACAACTGGTCATTGTAGAGGTGTATTGCATTCCGGCTCTTCGAAGTAACATTCTGAGTCTCGGGCAGATGACGGAAGAAGGGTATGAAATTGGGATAAAGCAAGACTTTTTGAAGGTACACGACAAGTACAACAGGCTTGTGATGAAGGCACAACATTCGAAAAACCGCTTGTAGAAGATAGTGCTTCATACAACTCAACCAGTTTGTCTTCACACGCAAATAGACAACATGGCTTCGCTATGGCATGCTCGTCTAGGGCATGTCAATTTTCGCTTGTTAGAATCCATGGTGGAGAAAGGAATGGTACGTGGAGTACCAAAGGTGTGTCACCCAGCACAAGTTTGTGAAGGGTGTCTAGTAGCCAAGCAGACCCGTGAATTATTCCCACAAGAAGCTCAATGGCAAGCAAATGTTCCGTTAGAACTCGTGCATGCTGATCTCTGCGGACCCATAACACCACAAATAGTAGCAGGTAATCACTACTTCCTCCTTCTAGTTGATGACCACAGCAGGTTCATGTGGGTATACATGCTCAAGCACAAAAGTGAGGCTGTTGAAACCTTTAAGAGGTTTAGAAAACAGGTGGAAAGTGAAATCGGGTTTAAGATAAAGGGCTTGTGCACTGATCGTGGAGGAGAATTTACATCTGATGAGTTCGATGAATATTGTAGCAAGGATGGAATAAGGCGACAGCTGACCGCTCCATACTCTCCCTAGCAAAATAGAGTTGTGGAGCAGCATAATCGAACTATCCTTGAAGTCACGAGATCGTTATTAAAAGCAATGGAATTTCTAGAAATCTTATAGGGAGAGGCAGTACGCCATGCTGTTTAGATTCTCAATCGAGTTCCAACAAAATGAGTAAAAGATAGAACTCCTTATGAAGCACTGTATAGGAAGAAACCAACACCGGAGCATTTTAGGGTTTTCGGTTGTGTGGCGCATGCAAAAAGACCTGCCAACAAGCTTACAAAGTTAAGTGATCGTAGCATTCAATTAGTGTCTCTTGGCAACGAACCAGGGAGCAAAGCCTTTCGTCTATACAACCCAAGTGAAAAACGAAAATATGTGGCTAGGGATGTGATATTCGATGAAGGAACAAAGTGGAAGTGGGCCACAACTCAAAACGAATCACATGTTTTTTGTCAAGACTGGACTAGATTTCCAAGTGAAATCTCTTATGAACCAGGGAGTCCAACATGAAGATGGAAGCCCAGGAAGTCCGTTTCCCAGCTCTGGTCTGTCCAGCCCAACAAGCTCACCACGAACCCCTACATCAGTAACAAGCGACGAAAGTAGTTCATCTCCCTAAGGCACAACACTGTCATCGGACTCGTTGCCAAACCGATCAACATATGATGACAGACCAGTTTGAGGGTTTCGCACACTAGAAGATGTACTCAGTTGTTGTCAACCATTTGAAGAGGAAGTTGAGGAACTCATGTTCGCTGGGGAAGAACCCAGAATGTATGTAGAGGCGGCGAACGAACAAGAGTGGCAAGCTGCAATGAAGAAAGAACTGGAGTCAATTGAAGCCAATAATACATGGATATTAACGAATCCTCCCAAAGGACAAAAACCAATTGGATTAAAATGGGTCTATAAGGTAAAGAGGATGCAGGTGGAAAGATCATTAAACACAAAGCCCGACTTGTCGCGAAGGGGTACGTACAACAAAAGGGAGTTGATTTCGAAGAAGCTTTCGCACCAGTGGCTAGAATGGAAACAATTCGAGTTATCTTGGCTTTAGCAGCAGACGAGGGGTGGAGAGTTCATCATATGGATGTAAAATCGACATTCCTAAATGGGGTGCTATAGGAGGAGGTGTATGTTTCGTAACCTGATGGATTTCAAGTCAAAGGGAAGGAGCACATGGTGTACAAACTGAACAAATCCCTCTACGGGTTGCATCAATCCCCAAGAGCTTGGAATGCAAAACTCCACAATACACTCAAGGACATGGGCTTTCAGCGATGTCCTCAAGAATATGATGTATACAAGAATAAAAAGGAAAATATGAGTGACTTAGGTGTGCTATCCTATTATCTTGGGATTGAAGTCATGCAAAAGAATGGAAACATCTTGATAAACCAAGCTGGGTATGCTGAAAAGATCTTGCAAACTGCAGGTATGGGTGACTGTAATCCCACCAAGTACCCCATGGAACCACGATCTGGTTTAAGGCCATCTCCAATGGGAGTTCAATGGAGGGTTTAATGGGGAGTTTAATCTCATTAAACCCAAAATCTCCACTATAGGAAAATGACTAGGATTCAATGGAATGGGGAGTTTAATCCTCATTGAACTCTATATTCTCTCTCCTCATATATATATATATATATATATATATATATATATATATATATATATATATATATATATATTATTTTTTATTTTAAATTAATGTTAATTTTAATTGTAGTTTTTAATTTTTAATTTCATGCTAATTAATTTTTTTAAAAATAACAATAAATAAAAAGAAAATGATAAATGATGTGACAATCCATTAAATTGTATAGAGTTTAATGGAGTGTAGAGTTTATTGGGTAAAGTTGTATAGTAAGTGGAATGTATATGTGTCCATCCATTGAACTCATATGAGTTCAATGCATTGGAGATGGTCTAATAAAGGATGAAGAAGGAGTATCGGTCAATGCGACTACAGGAAAATTGTTGGAAGCTTGAGATACCTAACCCATACAAGACCTGATTTGAGCTACTTTGTGGGTATTGCAAGTAGGTACATGGATGCCCCAAAGGAGAGTCATCTCAAGGCTATGTAACAGATATTAGGATACATCAAAGGTACCAAGAATTATGGTTTGGTGTACAAAATGGGTGGAGACAAGGAGCTAGTTGGGTACATTAGGATACATCAAAGGTACCAAGAATTATGGTTTGGTGTACAAAATGGGTGGAGACAAGGAGCTAGTTGGGTACATTGATAGTAGTTATGGGACAGATTTGGACAAAAGAAAAGGAACAACTGGAACAATGTTTTATTTTTTTGTTAAAGCTATCACATGGTCTTTGCAAAAGCAACGAACAGTGGTGTTATATCCTCATGCGAGGCGGAATTCATGGCAGCTACAGAAGCTGCATGTCAAGCATTATGGCTGAGGAGCTTGATAAAAGGCTTAACAGGGATGAAGGAAGAAAGAGTGAAGCTTTATGTTGACAACAAATCAGCTATAGCTTTGATGCATAACCCAGTTTTCCACGGGAGAAGTAAGCATATAGATACCAAATTCCACTTCATACGTGGGTGTATTGAAAGAAGGGAGATCCAGGTGGAGCATGTAAGCGGGGAAAATCAAAAGGCTGATCCTTTGACCAAATCTTTAGCACGTGTGAAATTTGGAGAGATGAGAAACTTGATTGGAGTTGAAAGCATTATAGTT